CGGGGCTAACTGCAAAAGAGGGGGCAGCTTTGGTCACAGGCTCTCTTCCCTTGGGCACGTATCTGGGTTCGTCCTCTCCCGGGACCTCCTGCCATGAGGAAGTCAGTCTGGCCTCTGCCCCACCTGGCCTCCACCCCACTGCATGCGTGAACCCCTGGCTCCCACTGGCCCACCTGCTCCCGGGCTATTCACGCACCAGCCATGCCGGGCTTTCTCCTCCTGCACCTCAGACAGGCCAAGCTCATTCCCCTCTCAGGGCCGCAATGGAAAACACTCTCCTCAGAAAAAGGTCACCACCTCAGAGAAGCCCCTCCTGACCACTGTGCCTTGCATTGGTTTCCTCGGGCAGGACGCTCCTGTGCTCTGAGATGACTTATGGGTCCACTTGCTAAGTAGTTGCTCCCACGGGGACATTGCAGAGACTTTGCTTTGGTCCTGCCGAACCCCCACACCTAGCGCAGTGACAGTCAGGGACGTGATGACTGCTCCGTAAATATCGGCTGCACAAACACTGACTGACCAGCTGCTGTGTGCCAGGGGTGCCCTGGGCGCTCCGTGACATGGGTGGACAGACCCAACCTCTGCCTGTAAGACACCCAGAGTCTGGGCCTACAGAGTGATGCAGTGCTTAAAGCCCAAAGCTCAGGACCAGCGGATGGCGTAGTGGTTACGTTGCTAGACTTCCACATGGCCGACCGTGGTTCGAGTCCTGGACCCGGTGGCTTCAAACTCATGCCGGGTGCATATGCATGTGTGCCCAAGATCTCGAGAGGATAATGGAGGACAAGGGGTTGCGGCATGGCCATCACCCCTGGGGGGTGATGTCTCACTTTCCCTCTCACTGTGTCTGTTTCTCTCTCTCTCCTGTGAGTGCACACGCCCTAAGGCAAAAACTTCTCAAAACAAAGAAACAAACCAAAAAACACCCCCATGCTCTGTGAGGCTGACCCACACGGGAAGGTTCTAGGTTCAAGCCCGGAGACCTCCCTGAATATGCTAGGTCACATTGGTCCACGCTGGGCCTGACTAAGGCTAGGTACGGATCCTTGTTGAAGATGTTCTCTCACTCTCTCTCTCTCTCACTCTCTCTTTCTCTCTCGCTTGTGTGTGCATGGAAATAAATAAACTTTAAAAAAGAAAAGAGATGCAGAGCCCAACCTTTGGCTCCCCTGGCACGACCTCGCATCTGTTTTCATATACTTATTTCTCTCGCGCTTCTTAATAGCACAGATTGAGAGTTTGCCTAGTCATCTATGACCTTCAAGTGGAAAGCACGCCGCCCCTTGGTACGCCTAAGATGGTCTTCAAGGCCAAAACGTCGTGGTGGCCCCTAGGGGAGTATTTCCATATTCTGATGTCTTCACGTGGGCGTGCTCCTCCTCCCACCTCACCTTTTTTCTTTTTAGATCCTTTTGATCCGACCCAGTCCCTAAAACGCTGATGTGGTAACCCAGCTGGGAGCAGGACCTGGGCCTGGCCACTTCCCTTTCTGAGCCTCGGTTTCTCCACTTGGAAAGCTGAGGGTCTAAGGGACCATGGAGGGCTGGGTTCTATGAGTTTGTGATCTTTGATTCCATACTAATTATTTCCTCTCTTCCCTCTGCCACTTAAAAAGGGGGGGGGGATCTAGAACTTTCTGAGACCCGTTGTGGACTTCGCCAGGGTCTCCGCAGGGACTCACTGTGTGCCTGCATCACCTCCGAGATGTTGAGCCCCTCACGCATCCGCAGGACGCACACGCCGTAGTTGAAATCAAAGGCGTCGCTGAGAAGAGAGGAGGCAGGGTCAGGGCCCTCAGTCCCACTCCCACTGTGCGGGGGAGGGAAACCAAGCCAGGCCCCTCCTCACACAGCTGGGCGATCCTCACAGCCTGCCCATGGACTAGCAGAGGGTGTGTATTAGCCCCATGGTAAGGGGTAACTCAGGGTCACAGACCACAGAGGTGACTGGCTGGGGTTAGAATGCGATGGCTGAGAATGCAATGGCGTGCACCAGGGTTAGCCCCGCTCAGGCAATAGGCTGTCTCCGTGGAAGGTCTGGAAAACTCAGGCCGCGAAACAATGTTCGCTGACCGCCATAGGGCCTCAGCACACACGGGACGGCCTGAGCCGGTGGGCCGAGCCCTGCCTCCCCTGGACTCCTGAACTGTGTGTCCGGGACAGGGACCTTTCAGGCCCTGGTGTTTCCAAGTGCTGGGGCTGAAAGGAGCCTGGAGACCAGGCTACCTGGGGTTGTGATTCAGCTAGAGGCAGCCGAGACGATCACCCTGAGTCACAGAAGCAGGCCCCAGGGCCCCCACACACCACCTGGTGTTCTTTTTATTAAAAAAAAAAAAAAAAAACCAACTTTGCCAGGAGTGCAGTTGCACTCACCAGAGAGAGAGAACATGAGAAAGGACCCTCCATGGAGCATGGTCGCAATGCAATCCCCTCTTCATTTCTCTCTCCTTTCGGGATTTTGGGCATGCATGCACATGACCCCTTTAAAAACCCCGGTATGTTTTTTAAGTCACTGGGTCGAGGGCTCAACTGCGTGTTCAGCCATGTGGGATCCACCATGCCACAGGCTGGCCCACAGCCTTGTGTCCCTTAATGGCCCTGCACACCGCCTCCGTGCACAAGGCAGAAGAGCAGCTCCACAGACATTCTCAGGACCTCGTATGGCCTCGGCTAAAGGAGGCAGGGTGTGGACTCCACCCTGAAACCTCAGGGCATTCAGCTCGGGGAACAAGCTTGCTTTCAAGCCTATTCTCAGTGGCACCATCTGAACGCTCTTAAGCTGGTTGCCTGTGGGTCTTCTGAAGCCCCAGGTGGGCACAAGGTTTCTATCTTAAAACCCACATTTTCAGCAACCCTGAAAAACTAGATCTGCCAACGCATGTCTGTGTGGACACACTTGGCTCCAGTCAAGTAGCAGCAGCTCTTCCCAGTTTACCACAATCCTCACTGTTCCCTATTGTCTCACAGTTGGCCCACTGCACTCTGTGTAACCTGCCTGGTCCCTGCTGACTTGGGGTCCATGACCCTTAGGTCAAAGTAGGGCATCGCCGGCCTGTTTCTTTCTCAGTTTTAAACAAGTAGACTCAACTTCTTACAGCAAACACTGTTGCTCCTCCACTTCTCAAGGTCCAGGAAACCCCAGTAGCCCAAATCAACCAAGCCCAGACCCCCGCCTGCCATGCCCAGGCTCACTGCAGGATGCCGATGTAGTCTTCTACCGTGGCTGGGTGAGCTGACTGCCAGTTCTTCTTGAACCCAACCACCAGAATGTTGGGCTTCATTCTCCCAAGACCTGCGGCCTGCCAGGGGTGTAGGAGGAAGGTGGGGGATCAGTCAGAGGGGCAGGGCTGGCGACTGGGACTCACGCCACCCAAAGCCTCCCTTCCATCCTTGCTGCAGGAGCTCAGGAAATACATTCTTCTGTTTAGGGTCTTTTCTGCCTGGACACACTCATGAGAAAGGTGTAGCTACAGCCAAAGTCATCCTCTTCTGGGTCTGGGCCAAGGCCTAGACTATTCCTTCTGGATCATCCCAGCTCCTGTTTCTCTAACAAATGGTTTCTCTAGACATGAAACTTGAGTTCGAATGTCAAGTTTAGAGTAGTCCTGGGTCATGTAATCCACACAGTTTTTCTTTTTATAAAATTTAACTTACTATTATTATTTAATTTGCTACAGGGCACATGCACTCACAAGAGAGAGAGAGAGAAAGCAAGCCACCAGGTCCAGGACTCAAACCACAGCTGGTCATGTGGGAGTCCAGTGCCTTAACCACCATGCCAACTGGGACCCAGAACAATATTTTAACACCTGCTGATCTCCCATATGGTTTTTCTACTTCTCTCCCCTTTTTAAAAGGTTTCTTCATTTAGTCTGTGAGTGAGACAGATGGAGATACAGCATCACCCACAGGTTCTTGATGCTGCAACCCACCCCCAGCTTTGACTGGTCCAGACCACAGGCACATACATGGCCAGAGTACTCAGGGAGGTCTCCAGACTTGAACGGGCACCCTTCCCATGTGGGTATCTCTTGCAGAGCATCACATTTAGGCCCTGATATTTCTTTCTTCTTTCTTTCTTTTTCTTTCTTTCTTTCTTTCTTTCTTTCTTTCTTTCTTTCTTTCTTTCTTTCTTTTTCTTTTTTTTTAGGGAGATTTTTACTTTAGAGCACGTGTGTTCATTGGTAAGATAAAGAGAGACAGAGTCAGAAAGCAAGAAATCACCCCCCAGAGGGGATGGCCATGCCACAATCTCTTCTCCTCCATTCTCCTTTTGGGATATTGGGCATGCATGCACATGTGCCCAGCGTGAGTTTAAGCCACTAGGTCTGGGACTTGAACTACAATCAACTATGTGAGAGTCCAATGACATAACCAGTATGCCATCTGCTAGTCCCTCTTTTTTCTTACTGTTTAAATTTAAAAAAATATTTTTGAGCTAAATTCACACAAAATTAACTGGTTTTTTGTTTTGTTTTGTTTTGTTTTGTTTTAAAGAGATTTTTGCTATAGGGTGCATGTTCTTGCTGGAGAGACAGAAAGATAGGAAGCAAGCAATCACTCCCCAAGGGGGATGGTTACACTGTGATCCCTTCACTTCCATTCTCCTCTTGGGATTTTGGGCATGCACACACATGCACCCGGTGTGAATTTCAAGTTGCTGGGTCTGGAATCAGAACCACAGTCAATCACGTGGGAGTTCAGCGCCTTAACCACTACACCACCTGCTGGCTTCCAGAATTAACCGCTTTGAAGTGTACACTCCATTGGCACTTCGTACATTCCTAATGTTTTGCACATTTCCAGTATCATCATCTTTATCTTCTTCCCAAATATTTTAATAAGCTTAAAAAAAAGATCCTTGTGTCTTTATTTTTTAGAAATATTTTAAAGTATTAGGGAAAAATTAAAAACTATCAGGATTTGGGGACCTGCCCCATAGACTATTGGTGAAAGGAGTCAGATCCCACAAGACTGGCCGCAGTTCAAATCCCAGCCACAGAGGCTTGATAAGCACGCTGTCATGTGTACCTGTGTGCCCCACATCCTGATAGGATGGAGAACCGGAGGGATCACAGCGCAGCCATGCCCCCTGGGGAACGTTTTCTCCCTGTGCCCCCACTCCATCCCTGTCTTTCTCTGGCAAACACATATGCCCCTTGGCAATACAAAAAGGAAAAATGAAAAGGATTCTCATATGCGGATTCGGAATTAGCAGCTGTTATTATTTTATCCACACGTTTCATTTTATACATGAGGAACCGAGCATTAAAATGAATTGCCCACTGGAACATTCCAGATCTTGATCTGAGTGGCAGTTACATACTGCTGGGGGGTGATCTCTTCATGCAAACAGTTATCAAACTGTACACTTGATTTTTTTCCCCCAGTTTACTGTATGCAAATTATCTTTAAAAAATAGAAGCAAAAACAAGAACTGGCCACAGGCACATAGTCCCCCACCAGCTTCCTCAGTCCCAGGTGCTGGGCACCCTGAGAAAGTGCCCTGAACCCAGCACATTTGGAGATGTAGGAAAAGTGGGGCTCCTGCCACAGCAAGAAGAGCTGAAACTAGACCCCAGGACTTTGCATCTGCCAAGGGGCCACGCCGAGCCGTCGGTGCTGCGGGAAGGCCCTCAGCCTACCTGCATGAGAATCTGGACTCCACTGCGGAGGTCCTCGGCGAGGACGTCGGAGTAGAAGGCCTTGACCTTCCGCTTATTCAGCCACTTGGTATGGCCGTTGGCGATAAGCCGGAGCTCGGGCATCCTCTGCTTGCGGGGCCCCTGTGGGTAGTGGGAGCAGGCAACATCCATGCACAGCCACCTCCCGCTCCACCTGTGGGGGACTTGCATCCCGGCGGTTACCCCACAGCATGGCCCTGCCCCCCTGCGGGAAACACTCACGACAAGCACGTGGCCACAGATCATCAGGCTGAGGTTCCGGGTGAAGGTACCCACGAAGTCCACCAGGGCTGGGCGGAAGTTGGGGGGCCCTGTGAGCACCAGGCACTGGGGGCTGAGAAGGGAAAAGGCCTGAGCCATCAGGAGAGGCCATGAGCGTCCTAGGAGTTCCTCTACCTCCCAGATCTCCCTGACCTCGATGTGGTCTCAGGGAAGACCCTGCACCCTTTGGGCCTCATTGATCTGCTTGGGACTCAAGGGTGACTTCCAGGGTCCCTCAAGCTCTTGGTGGCCTCCACACTGTGGCCACACCTGGTCCTTCCTGTGCAGGCCACCAAGCACTGCACCCAGTGCCCCCCACTGCCCTGCGTTGTGCAGCCCTGCCTGGTGGTGGGAAGAACAAAGATGAGGAGTATGAGGCCCATCCTCTACGATCTCACTGCCAAGGCGACGACTGTGCCACTGCGTCATTGAGAGGCCAAGGGCCTCTCGGACCACAAGACTCGACCAGAGCAGATGCCGCCAGCCGTTCCCCAGCTGTGTGACCTTGGGCCTGTTACTTAACCTCTCTGTGCCTCAGAGTCGTCATCTGTGACTGGGTTATATTTTCACGAACTTCGGAGGGTTGTCATGAGACTGTACAAGGCACTCTGGGCAGCGCCTGGCTCACAGGAAGTGCGACATCGTCCCACTATCATTTTTAGGACCCGGTGGGAAGGGGATTCCAGGTGTATAATTCTCCTCTCCAAGGAGGGGAATCCACCTTGAAGAGCACCCGGAAAAGGTTTGTCACTCGCAGCCTCCCAGGATTATTGCAGAGGGAATCACAACATCAAGTCGTCCCTACGACAGAGCATTCTCTGCTGTTGAAACTGAGGCACAGAGAGGTCCCTTGACTTGCTCGGTTCCTAGCAGGCAATGCACCCCTGGTGTGTTGGCCAGGTGGGACTCCTCCACCTCTCTGTCCTGAGTGGGGACCTTGCCAACCCTAGTCTGCCAACATCAGGTGACAGGTTTGGCTCAGATGGTCCCCAGGCAAGGTCATCACCAGCCCGGGGTCCTAGAAGGGGCCCCCAAAGCTCAGCTCACCGGTAGTTCTTGATATGGTCTTCCACCTCATTGAGACCCACCGAGTAGCTCAGGGCCAGGTTGTAGGAGCCAGCCTGCACAGAGGAGCCCCAGTTTACCTCTGAGGGCAGGGTGAGAGAGCAAGATTAGAGAGCAGTGTAAGACACCAGGCGTCTGGAGGGAGGGTGGGAGCAGGGATGTGAGTGCCAGCCCTCCCTAGACACTGAGTCCCGGGAGCAGGGCCACCTGGCAGGCGTGTAGCCTATGGAACTGTTCCTAAAGTTTGCAGGGCTGGGGACCACAGGTCACATGGCTACATATCTGAGCATTATCATCAAGGTACTGAACTCTACAGACTACCTTCTGCCTTAACCAACAGACCTTCACAGTGACCCGGAAGTCCAGGTTTAAAGCTAGAATCCCAGGCTTTCTGGGCCTTCCGTGTCCCACCCTCAGATCTCTGTCACCCTGGATCTTGGTTGGCACACACATGAACAGCCCTGCCCAGTGTCCACGCTTGGTCCATCTGTCATTCAAACAGCCACCCTTTGGCCTAGGTGTGCGTGCCATGGCCAGTCCCTCTTGGAAGGATGGCTGGGAGCATAGGCCTATGGGGGTCCTTCAGGCAGGGAATCCCAGGGTCTTGGGCACATAAAGGGTGATCCAGAACAGGATGAGCTCCATGTGGGCACCCCTTTAACTCCCTGCCCCACAGGGAGGGATGAGGCGGAAGGGACAGTATGGACCCTGAAAGCACTGAGGCTTCCAGCTGCCTGCCCAGCTGCCCGGGGTGGAGCAGCCGAGCCCCAGGCAGCCTGAGGTGCACACCTGGCTTCTTGTAGATCACGTAGAGCAGGAGGAAGAAGACAACGCCGATGGCGATGAGGGCCGCCCACCAGGTGAGGAGGAACATGATGACCACGGAGATGACCGCCCCAAACAGTGCTGCCCACTTGCTGTAGTACCGGAACGAGGGTCTCCACCCTGCAGCGGGGCACAGCTCAGTGGCACACCCAGCTCTCTGGCGCCTTCTCCTGGACCAGAGCTGCCAAGCAAGACTGGGCACCAATGCCAGCTGTGCCCACTGGCCATGGCCACCATACTCTAGTACCATCTACCCCGCCTCCTAGGGCTGGGCCTAAAGGCTCAGGGAGGACCACCTGTCCACCACGGCTGGTGTTCCATTGTGTCCTTGGGCTATGGCAAAGAGGAAGCGTCCAGTTCTGGCCAAACAAAGCCAAGGGTGTCCGACCTCAGCAACAGTGCCGGCTGCCACGGCTCAGGGGGAAAGGACATGGGCCACACCAGTGGGCCAGGCCAGGGTGCCACTCGCGACACCTGTCTCATGGCACAAACACAGGGCACCACTGCACACACTGTGGTTTTGTACAAGGCCCTTCAGTGATGGGGCTAATTAGAAAATACCTTCCTCGGGACCAGCAGTTGGCATAATGGCTATGTCGCTGAACTCCCATGTAGTCAACCATGGTTTGAGTCCCGGACCCGGTGGCTTAAAACTTACGCTGGGCATGTGTGTATGCGTGCCCAAGATCCCGAGAGGAGAATGGAGGAGAAGGGATTGCGGCATGGCCATCCCCCCTGGGTGGTGATTTCTCGCTTTCTGGCTGTCTCTCTCTTTCTGGAGAGCACACATGCCCTATAGCAAAAACCTCTCAAGAAAAAAAAAGAAAAGAAAATACCTTCCTCATTTACCTGGAGTTTTGTTTGTTTGTTTGTTTGTTTTTAATTAGCTACAGGGTGTGTGCGCTCAGAGAGAGAGAAAATGAGAAAACGCTCCCTCCCCAGGGAGTATGGTCACGCTGCAGTCCTTTCTCTTCCATTCTCTTCTAGGAATTTTGGGCACATGTACACATGCAGCAAACTTGTTTTTCAAACCTCCAGGTCTAGGACTTGAACTGCTGTGCTTTCAGTCAGCCATCTGGGATCCAGCCATTTTAACTACCATACCACTGGTTGGCCCCAAAAGCTTTGCTTTGTTTTTGTTTGTTGTTGTTGTTGCCAAAGGGTTATTGCTCACCAGAGAGAGAAAGGGAGAAATCACCCCACGAGGGGGCTTTGCACACCACAATCCCCTCTCAATTTCTCCGTCCTGTCAGGATTTGGGCATGCACGCACACATGCCCAACAGGTTTTTCAAACCACCAGGGCCAAGATTCGAACTGTAGTCATGTGGGATCCAGCTTCCTCAACAACTAAGCTATGGGAGCAGCCCGTGGCTTTTTTGTTGTTTTGTTGTTTGCCATAGGGTGCATGCACTCACTGGAAAGGAGAGAGGCGGAGTGAACCTGAGAAATCCCTCCCCAGGTTGGGGTGAGGGGGGATGGCCATGCACAATCCCTCCTCCGTTCTCCTGGGATTCTCAGAATGCACGCGTTGTGCCAGGGGTGATTTCTAAATGAATCTGTGAGCTCTGTGCTCGCTGGACTCAAACAGCGCCCCCTAGAGAACCACTGTGACAGCCCTTCCGTGGACCCTCGGTCGTTTTCTTCCCTCTGGAAATTACACTCCTGACTCGCGGGAAATTGGTAAAGGAAGGGACTGGGCAACCTCTACAGGCTGGAAACAGCACACGAATCCCTGTCAAGCACAGACTGGGCAACCTCTACAGGCTGGAAACAGCACATGAATCCCTGTCAAGCACACGGTGCCCGTACTTGCTCAAGAGCAGCTGTCTGGGGCCGGCAGGTGGTGTGCTGATTAAGGCACTATATCCCACGTGGCCAAGTGATGGTTCAAGCCCCAGACCCAACAGTTTGAAAACCACACTGGGTGCCTGTGTGTCCAAAATCCTGAGAGGAGAAGGGATTGTGGCATGGCCATTCCTACAGGGGGAGGAGGGAGGAAGGGGGTGATTTCTCTTTCTCTGTCTCTGGCAAGTGTACATACCCTGTAGCAAAAACGGAAAAACAAAAATAAACCAAAAAGCCCAGCTGCTGTTATTCGTTATTATCATCTGAACGCTCCCTTTAACTAATTGGCTTCAATAGAAGTGGCCTTGGACTGCCTGCATCCCTCAATCTGTGCCTTCCACTCCCACCCGCCTCCAAGCCCCCATCCCCCAGGGGCTCATCCTGCAGAGAGGTGAGGGGCTGCTTACCAGGCGAGTTGGTGATGGAGGCGTGGAAGCAGCTGAAGTTGATGAGGGCGTAGGAGCACAGGAAGAAGTTGGAGATGATGGGGGCGATGGTGTTGAGCTCCGCTGCAGGGACCCAGGGAGAGAGGACAGCAGCTGGGGAACTCCACTGAGGAGCTGCCTGGCACCCTCCCTATAGGCTCGGGGGTCCTAGACAGGCCCTGGAGGCTCGGTGAGTCTCAACTGTCTCACCTGTGAAATGGGTCCCTCATTTTGACACTCAAAGGGATGCTGTCTTATAAATTGCAAGCTGCCATCTTTGAAAAGGATGGAGGATAATGTGAGATTAGACCCCCTTGGGTTATGGGGTGAGCAAGGCTAATGGCTGTCCCAGTGTTCTTGTTGGGACCACAGATGACAATAAGAAATTAAGTTTGCAGCCCAGCCTCAGGGGCACGGGCAGCAGTGTGCTAAGCTGCAGTGCTGGAAGCCGCATGGCTGACGGTGGATTCCTTGTCCACCTGGGGCACACTAGGTGTGCGTGCGTGAGATGCTGATGGGCTAGAGAGCTGGGGAAATGTTTCATGGCATGATGTGACCCTGTCGAGGGTGCTTGTCTCTGTCTCTCTCTCTCTCACATGCACACACTCATGCTCTCTGTCACAAATAAAATTAGCTTTAAAAAAGAAAAAAACATTTTGCAATGTGACCCAGGACACCAGGCCTATATCGCAATTCCAATCACAGTGGCACCTCCGCTCTGTTCCCTGTCTCACTGCCACTGCCCCCGACACCCTAGAACACTTGGCAAGTGAATCCTTCTTCCACCAGCTTCCAGGGAGCCCTAAACAAGACAAACACTCCTTAGGCTCTGAGTCCCCCTGCACACAACTCCATGTAACTGTCCCATGACCCTACCCCAGAGCTCCTGAGATCTGGGACCCCCTGAACTCCAGTCCCTGCTGGGCCCCATCCATGCCCACAGCAGCCTGAAGCCACGTTAGATCACCCAGATAAAGGGACATTGAGTCGGAGCCGCGGTGCACTGTCGGGAAGCCAGCTTCTGGGCCCTGGTGAGCAGGACGTGGAGATGGGCCCGGAGCATGCCAGGCCTGCCTTGATGTGTCCATACCGAGAGTGGCCCTGCCACTGCTTTGTTTGGGTCAGGATCCAGGAGCGTCCAGCGTTCATTTGGGCGACAGTGACTAGACTTTTAGGGAGATCTTGGGGACTGCTGATGCCAGACCAAGCAGCAAGGATCTGGCCATGGCAAGAAGATGCCCAGGGAGTTTTGCCAGCCTCCTTTACCCCTGACCCCTGCATAGGGAGCAGGGACCAGGGCACATCATGTCACAGCATGGCCATTACCTGGTTTGGCACGGCCACGCCTCCCTAATGAGCTCTGCCCCGTGGCTCAGCTAATCAGGAAGTATGGGGTGTGTGAGTGTGCACACACTGCTAACCCCATATGGGCGTGCACATGTGTGGTGTGCGTGTACACACGTGGTCTTGTCCTGCCTGTCTGTGACACACCCACGATGCCCCGTGGATCCCATTCTGCAGATGAGAAAACTGAGGTCCAGGGAGCTGAAGTGCCTCGTGCGAGGTCTCACAGCTGGCTCTTTCTAAGGCACCCCTCGCCTTGAAGCGCAAGGAGTCTAGAAGCCCACGGTCTGGAAACCGGGTTTGCCCAGGTCAGTCGCTTAAAGGCTAGGACCCGGTCGTTAGCTCAACTCCTGAGCAAGGGAAGTCGGCATACCGAACGAGTCCTGGGACAGGGAAAGGGTCCGGGCAGGGACGAAGGCCAGGGCCCTGCTGAATCCAGGCAGCCCTTACCGATGATGATGAAGGCCACGGCGATGGCGTAGGCCAGCAGGTAGCCGCGCACGGGCTCCTTGTTCTTGCCGTAGCCTTTGCCGAAGAAGCCGATCAGCGGGTACAGCTGGTCCTCACACAGGCACTGCGGGCATCAAGCGCCACACTCAGCCCTGGCTGGGACCTGCTGCCTCTCCTCCTCCAGGGAGGGGAGCTCCAGCCCTGCTGGGCCCCATGCACACCCACAGCAGAACACTTGCCCGGTCTGGGCTCCGATGGCTCTCTCTGTTCAACGGGGTGACATCCCTGCCCTCCCCACCTCACCACAGCGAAAGTAACAGGGCACAACGCGGGGTGGGCTGCAGCCGGGTAGACTCGGCTGGGGGGATTGCAGGCAGGCTGCCAGGCTGTACAGGCAAGGGCCTCGGGGGGCGCAGGTGTGACGGGTGCTGCCTTCACAGTTTGCTACCCAGCCCTTTGTCCTTCCTTCCAGACACCCTGTCACATGACTCTCGGCTCTTCATAGCAGTCACCTGGGACCCTACCGCCTGGGCCTCCCAACGCAGACCCCAAGCACCACCTCAGCCCCTGTCTGCAGCCTCACCTGGAAGACCTTGGCAGCAGAGACGAGGCAGGCCAGGGCAGAGGAGAGGGTGGCCCCAAAGATGCCGGCCGTGATCAGGGGTGCAAAGCCGGACACCATGCTCATGGTCTACAGGTACAGAGGGTTCGAGAAACTCTACGGGGGCTGAGCCACGAGCCCCTCCTGTAGCACCCCAGTCCTTAACACAGGCAGAACTGGAGCCTGGAGCATTCGTTCGAATCTGCATCCCTCGCCTGGGGATCCCAGTGTGCACCCCAAGGCAGGACATAGCACAGGAGTCCCACCGAGCTCTGAGCTGCTCTCCCCAGAGCCTAGGGCCCAGCGCCCCCAGACTATCTCTACCCAGGGCTATTCCTGCCCTGAGAGGCCCTCCCTTCCCCACTCGGCTCCCTGCGGCTGACGAGCGGCAGCTTCCTGGCAGATCCCCGGTACCTGGTAGTAGTTGATGAGGCCATAGCGGCAGCTGTGCTGCTGGGCGCACTGGGTGAAGTTCCAGCCGTAGCCACAGGCCAGCCCCTCGCAGGCGCCTGCGCCCGGGGTCACCGTGTCATTCAGGACCCCAGAGGCATCACGCACCACGCAGGAACCTCCAAAGAGGGAGGAGGATGTGTGAGGTCTTCCCTCCCTCCCTTCCTCTGCCCTTTCCCACCCCCAAAATGCCGGCCACTGCAGCAGAGGCAAGACGCCTCAGATGGGGCAGCTCTTCCTTCATCACGCCATGATGATGCGAGCTCACACGCAGGCGTGCTTGCGGCGCGCCAGGCACAGGCTAAGAGGCCATCGCCATGCTCCTGGGAAGCTGGGGTTGCTATGACTTTTCTGTTTGATTCCATTTTACAGAGGCACTGCGAGCTTGACTGACAGGCTCAAGTTCACAATGTCTTCCCTCCAACGGAGACCTGGGTCTCAAACCCTGAGCCCCAAGCTAAGTCCCCTCACAGGTGGTCACCGGGAGCAAATGGTTCTGGGAGGCTGAGTTCAAGGAAGAGGTTAACAGCCCAGGCCTGGGTGCAAAGCCCAGCTCCATCACTCAGTGGCTGTGTGACCTTGGGCAGGTCACTCAACCTCTCTGAGCCCTTGTGTCCTCCTCTGGAAAATGAGGAAAATGCAGGAGCTCCTAAGTTCAATGTGATAGGCACGTAAAGAGTTGGGCTATGGGAAGCCAGTTGCTAGAATTGTCATCATCATTCTTACTCCTAGGGTCGGACCCTGACCTGTCAGAAGCACCTTCACTCGTGAACCTGTAACCCCAAGAGCTACAGGGACCGAAGGAGGCTGGGCTCAACCCTTGCCTCGTCCCCACCACCAACGATCACCACTAGGTGGCGCAGCAGTAGGGCCACGGCTCCACTTACTAGAACCGCAACGTCCTCCTGGCCCGGCTCTGTTAGTGGAAGCCCACCCCATGATGCCCTCTAGTGGCTGGGACTCGTGGGCGCTGCAGGGCGGGCATGGACTTCCTGTTCCTGCTGGCCAGCTACTTACCGATGGTGGCTGAAATGGCCAAGTAGGAGACGGTGGTCCAGAAAATGGCCATGAGTGTGCCCTTCGGGATGGCCACAGCAGGGTCCTGTGGGAGGGAGGGACCACGGAGGTGTCAGCCTCTGGGCCTCTGGGCCTCCCTCCAGGCTCTTGACCCCTGCCAGAGGCCAGGGAAGGCAGCAACCTCCAACGTGGGCCTTCAGAGCCACCTTCCCAGGGAACGTCGTTCCCCCAGGCACTGCAGCACCGCTGCACAGGATGTGGCGAAGGCTGGATCCGCACCGAGCTTTAGGCCAGCAGCCAGCTAGCCAGCAGCCCTCGCAGTGAGCGTGGTGAGTCGCTAGGCACCAGCTGACGTGTCTTGTCCCACGGCAAGAAACAAGAGTGGAAGGCAAGCCCCCAACCTCCTCTTCCCACTCCCAGGAAGAAATCTCTGCTTGAATTTTCCTAGCAGTAATAAGCTCAGGCCAGCTCTGTGACATAGGGGTTACGGGAGCTGGAGCCCGCATGGCCGACTGCACGGTTCAACTTCTGCACCCAGTGGCTTAAAAAACATGTCGGGCACATGTGCATGTGTGCTCAGAACTGCAAAAAGATGGAGAAGTGGAGAAGGGATACGCCATTGGGAGGTGCTTTCTCCCGCTCTCTCCCTCTCTCTGTCTCTCTCTCTGGCGAGCACACAGATGCTTCTCCCTGACGTAAATTCCTGAGATGTTTCCGGCTGGTGGGGAAACTGAGGGCAGGAAGGCTCGCCGGACTTCTCGTGGCTCTGGTCCTGACCCTCCCCAGACCCACAGGATGGGAATTTTGCAGCAAGTTCAAGGCAGGCTCCACCCTCCAGGCACAGTCCCCGGTTCTGGGGAAGGCCATGTCGGCCAAGGAAGTGGATGCGAAACTCCCACCTTTCCCTCACTGCCCATTCGCAGCTGACCTCACACACAGAGAGGCCAAGTCAAAGGGCGGGGTCTCAGGGGGCGAGGGAGGGTGTGGCAGGCCAGAAAAAATGGGGGCAGAGGTTCAGAGCTGGAGGGAGGCTGGAGTACCAGGAGCTCCCAGCTCTGCTGTGATCTCGGCTTTAGGGACCTCGTAGCCACGGTCCTGGAGCCCCACATACCAGGACCTCTGGGTCTCCCTCCAGGGAGCATCCCTGACCCCAAGGCCAACAGACCAGGCCAGCTCCTGCCCTACTCTGAGTGGGCCGAATCATGTCCCCACAAATTCACATCCACCTGGAACCACAGCGTGTGACCTTATTTGAAAACTGGGTCTTTGCAGGTGTGATGGGCTAAGATGACGTCATCCCAGAGCAGGGTGGACCTCCAGTGCAGTGTGTCCTTATAAGATGGACACAGAGGAGAAAGGGGGCCATGTGAGGACAGAGGCCCGGGTCAGAGTGACGCAGCTACCAGACCAGAAATGCCAGAAGGGGTGAGGCAGGATCGCCCCCAGAGCTTGAGAGGGAGCACAGCCCCCTCACACCTTGATTTGGGGCTTCCACGCTCCTGAACGCTGAGAGGATACATTTTCATTGTTCTAACCCACCCAGTTTGTGGCACTTTGTGACAGCAGCCCCAGGAAATGCCTCTGCCAGCCCTCAGCCCCATCTGTACCACATCCTGCTCTGAGATCTCAGACCCCGCTCCCAAGTCAGGCAAAGCGGATCTCTCTCTCAGCCCGTGCCTTCCTAGCTGTGTGCTTTGGGGGAAGCGCCTAACGTCTCTGAGCCTCAGCACCCCCACCTGCAGAACGGGAAAATAACCTGGCCTTACAGCAAGCGCCGGCGAATGTCAGCTGATAGATCCGTGAAGGTGCTGCGCACGGGGACGTGTCCCGGGACAACCCCAGAACTACGCGGTGAAGGTGGTTGTGATAAGTTGGGGCCTCTCTGTTCTAGACACTTGCGCCCCAGCCCCTCGGCACCTGTGTGGCCCGGGGCGAGCCCTTGCACTTCTCTGAGCTTGGCTTGCTCACCTGTGTCATGGTAAAAATGACCCTGACGCCAACTAGCTCAGCACCGTGCTGTGCCGGGCATCGTGCTAAGCTCTTCGGGGAATCAGCTCATCGAATCTCACTGCTCCCTGCAAGGCAGGGGCGGTGGGAGCCCACCTTACGGCTGGTGAAACGGAGGCCCAGAGGGATTTTTGAGGGACTTGCCCAGTCTCACAGTGAGGGTTCCACAAACGAGAGCTGCTCTGTTGCTAAAGATGCTGCCCCGGAGGACAGGCAGGGGCCCAAGTCCAAGAGCAAGGGCCCCTTTAAGGCTTAAGGGCATTTAGGACAGAGTGAAGCTGCCGGCCTCGGCCGGCTCCCAGACAGCTGCCGGCCCCAACACCTGTACGCTGGGCTGGCCAGCAACCGAGGAGCTCGAGGAAGCATCTACCAGACAGATGAATTCCCAGGCAATATTCTGCAGTGGGGTTTGGGGTGGACCAGGCTCTCTGAGTACAGCCTAACTTCTGCAGGGACCTCAGGACAGGTGGACCAGGCCTCTGCTGGCTGCTCCCCAGGGAAGGGAGAAAAGCTGGACAAACACAGTCCCTCTCTGATTTCCCTCATCCCCAGAGAATTTCCAGTTTGAGCCAGGCCAGCTTCAAGATTGCCCCATGCATGATCTTTAATTCATTTGCAAAAAAAGCATCAAGGACACCTTCCAAGGGGGACCGGAGGCTGGGGTGAAAGGGAACCGTGAGTACCAGCGCAGCTCCCAGCTCCATGCCGACCACGCCTGCCTGCCAAGGCCTGTGATCCTTCTGCCCACAGCGGCTGCCCCAGCTTCTCAGCTTTCCCCGCCCAGCTCTAGCCCCACCTCCACCCAGAAGTTTTGTTGGAGCCTCTGCCAGTACAATCTCTCCTCCTCCTTCACTGTCCAGCTCTTCATGCTTCTGCCTAGCACTGAGTTTCACCACTAGTCAGTCAACCAACGTGGACCAAGCACCTACTGTGTGTCAGATGCTAAGCTGGAAATAGGGACACAGAGATAGGCCGACATTATGCTAGGGACACTCTGACAGAGGACCTGGGAGAGGTATTAGAGAAGGTGTTTGAGAGGAACCGAACTTTTGAAGTTAACAAAATCAAGGATCGGGACCAGCAGTTGGCATAATGGCTATGTCACTGGACTCCCATGTAGTCAACCGCAGTTGGAGTCCCGGACCCACTGGCTTAAACTCATGCCAGGTGCATGTGCGTGCATGCCCAAGATCCCAAAAGAAAAATGGAGGAGAAGGGATTGTGGCGTGGCCATCCCCTTGGGGGATGACTTCTCGCTTTCTGTCTCTCTGTCTCTCTCTGTCTTTCTGGAGAGCACATGTGACCTATAGCAAAAAGAAAAAAAAAAAAACAAAACTCTAAAAAAAAATTCAAGGATAGTAGGGCCAGCAGGTGGCATGGTGGTTAAGGGTGCTGGACTCCCACATGGACGACCATGGTTTGAGTCTTGGGCGTGGTGACTCGCTTTCTCACTCTCCCCCCAACACACGTTCTGTCCTTCTTTGATCAAATTAAAATAAATAAGTAACTAACTAAATAAATACAGCTAAATAAACCATTCTTTAAAAAAAAAAATCAAAGGTAGGGAGTCACAAGTAAAGAGAACAGCATAGGCAAACATGTGGAGGAGGAACAGGGTCACACAGACAGAGCAGTGTCTCCTCAAGGCTGGAGCAGGGGTCACGAGAGTAGTGACCGTGGTCAGGAGAAGGCTGGACAGATGGGCTGGCACCCTGAATGCTGAGCCTAAAAGCCCACCTGCAACAAGGCAGTGGAATGCCCCGCGAGGGTGTCTGTCCACCCACGATGCACACAAGAAGGTCCAGCAGTGGCATGGAGGTTAAAGCGCTGGATACCCCATGGCCAGCTGCGTGGTCTGAGTCCTGGACCTGGTGGCTTAAAAATCAAGCCAGGCTGGGAGCCAGCAGTTAGCGTAATGGCTATGTCGCTGGACTCCCACGTAGTCGACCGCGGTTCGTGTCCCGGACCCGGTGGCTTAAAACTCACGCCGGGCGCATGTGCGTGCGTGCCCAAGATCCCGAGAGGAGAATGGAGGAGAAGGGATTGCGGCGTGACCATCCCCCCTGGGGGGTGATTTCTCG